TGGTTTACATGAGGACCGCTGATCGTTTAATTTCCCTTGTTTGATCCATTGCAGATTTTAGTCACAGTCGGAATGATAGCAAACATGGTGGCAAATTCATAAATTGTGTTGCATTCGTTTCAAAAAGTCGCTGTAAACCCATAAGTACCCAGCGCACTGTAGCACACTGATGGTTACAAGAAGGTGGATGTATACCGATTCATTTGGTATATCACATGTGAAGTGTTCTTTGGCGATACTTGGCAAATAAGGCAACTACGTGTTTAGCTGCAGCCAAGGTTTGAAACGGTATTCTAACCCTAGCAATACCGTTTCTTGGAGCTAATGTGGGACCATGCCCATGGACATTGTCATGGATAAGCAGGCGATTTAATTATCACACAATGCTCTCAAACTAATTAATTGTCATAAACTTAATTCAGTTTTATATGACAAACAATAATTCATCGCAACCTTAGTATGTGAAGAGATGGCTTCGATTTTTTCCATTTACATGCAAGTTTTAACTTTGAGCACATGGAGGCCGCCATATTGGCAACTTAACCGAGTTTTCACGTGAATCTAATATTAATAAAAGATATAATTGATCTATATATAGATAATAAAATGTAATATACATAATAGAGTATGTGTTTAAAAATTAAATATTGTTTTTATTTTTATTTATTAACGGCTATCTATAAAATTTCTAGATTTTTGACAAATAAACATCTAACTAACATCCTAGCGGTAGGTGAGTAAACAATAAAACCGACGAGCTTGCAGAAAGATGCACTGGTTCGGAACTTAGAAATGTTGTATTTTGCAGAATGAAGAGAGTGACATTAGTTGTAAATGGAAATATAGAGACAGTACAAAAGGTTAGTAGATCAAGATAGTCATTGCAAAGACCTTTGTAACTAGGAGGATGTATAACTATAACTACGAGTAACCCACCAACAATTTCACTCACAGACACTGAGACAGTCACAGTGACTGAGTCTGCGAGAGACATACACCACGCGCGCGCACACAGTGCCAACTCACGCACACACTGTCACTCACACACACGCGTGCACGCACACATAGAGTCTAAGACGCATGGTCACACGCCAAGTTCTGTCCAACGCTTGGCCGTCTGATACAATATGTAATTACACATTGACATTACACGTGAAATGTGGTTTGCGCATTAGCCTGATCAGTGATCAGCTGCAATCAGTCGCAAACACATTAGGTTCATGCCATGACGAAAATGGATTGTGGTCAGCGCTTATATCCATGATTGTGGTCAGCGCTTATATCCATGATTGTGGTCAGCG